TGTGGGTCCATTTTATGCCTGTTTCCTCATTGCCCGCTGTTTGTCGCATTATCCAGTCTACTGCAATCAAGAAAATGATTGGCGATAGTAGGCAGCCTTGTCTTACTCCTGTCTAATAAGGTGTTAGTTAAAGGTTCTGTCAGACGCATTCAACAAATATGCATACAGGACACAAGGGAAGATTTACACAACATTACTAAAATATTGTTCAGTGGCAATTATCCAATGAAATTCATTAAGCGTTGCAGAAGTGTCAAACAAAAGGCTCCACCGATATAATTAATTCCCGAAAAGGATGTTTATACACCCTTACCGATCAGAGATTATCAGCAAAGTCTGACCAACTAAGCGAAAACTCAAGGCAGCACTTAACAGACCTTATTATGCTCTTATAAACCCTCACAGTATTCGAACAATAGTATCACATTCCGTTGTTATTTACTAATTTATATTTATGTGTGCGGTCACATGTACAGATCCAGGAAGTCAAGGCTACAGAACATATTCCAAAGTAGGTACAACAACAAATAAAATCCCCGGATACAAACCGATCCCGGAAATAGATATCCAACATCATTTATACCGAGGCCTATCATAAAGACGACCCGTCACAAGGTTGATCTCAATAATCTTCCTACATTTGGTTCCCTTGATAAATTTCGATAAAGAAATGAAGACGAAATTTGCAGTATAAAATGAAATCATCACCATTCTGTTTCATAGGTTCTCATCAGCTACCATTGACTACCTGAAATTACAATGGTTCAATATATAGATGAGAATAACATACTTTAATGTTTAAGTGATTGTAGAGAAGAAATACTATAAAACTGACGCATCCAAAATGTTAGCATTACAATTTTTTAGTTTAAGAACAAAATATTTAGAGCGAACAATTGTTTTCAATAAATTCTTCTTCAGGCTCTACAATTATAAATCCATTAATTTAAGTATACAATAGCCAGTAAAGGCAAATTACATTCATATCAGAAAGTGTATTGTTGTGGAACAAGTATAAGTAAGATGGGATGGAACAATAGTCAGATAGTTTTTTTAATATGCATGGTCAATGAGAACATGGGAGAAAATGAAATGAAGTAATTTAATTTAATTTAATGATGTGTGTTTATATATGTAAATATAGTCAACAGAAAATGCAGGTTTCGAGAGTGTGTGTGAGACAATATGAAAATAAACCAACGAATGGGGCGGACTAGACATAAGTTCAAGGTTGAAAATAACAACAGTAAAATAATAACGATGATATGGTGTAAAATTACAAGCACTATTGGTGAATGATTGTCAAATAATATCAATGAATATAATGAAGTGAAATGAACAGGATTTTGTAAATACGATAACAAGTTAGAAAAGCACTATTTAAACCTAAGGTAATGGAAATCATAAGAAAGGTCATGTAATCATAAAAGTCGAAAATGAACGTTTGTCAATGAAACAGAGGAATAGAATAAGAAGAAGAAAAGAAAATTGTGAAAGGAGTTTATAGTGTTAATGGAGGATTTGTTGGCTTTATTGTAGGCCAAGGTAAATATAGTGGTTGAACATCCTTCTTCTGTATGCAAAGAGATGGTCTTCTGGTATTTTTGATATAAGAATAAAACTTGGGCACTGTGGTAGAGTGTAATTCCATTATGGGTAAATTTTATTTTGATAGAGTCTCACAGTGTTATACAGTAATATTACTCTATATTACTGTATACAGTAAATATTACTGTATAACACTGTGAGACTTCTGGTGTTTTGTCGCATGTTCTCATTGATCATGCATATTAAAAAAACTAACTGACTATTGTTCCATCCCATCTTACTTATACTTGTTCCACAACAATACACTTTCTGATATGATTGTAATTTGCCTTTACTGGCTATTGTATGCTTAAATTAATGGATTTATAATTGTAGAGCCTGAAGAAGAATTTATTGAAAACAATTGTTCGCCCTAAATATTTTTAGTTTAAGTTTTCATCATCAATTTATACGCTTTCAAAGTAGAAAAGAGGTGGTAAGACAGAAAACATTAAAAATCAATCAACAGAACAGTGTTAGCTTGTAGGTTCACATAGCAACTCAAAAAGAGAAACGAAAGCGGCTACAGTTTATAAGATTGAAATTTGTTCAGTGAGTTGAGATCACTGAAATAGAAATTTCATTTATCCCTTCGTGTCAATGAATAAAACAAGTTTGGGTCCCATATTCAAATCTGTTGTAGTCTTAGTCATAAAAATGCTCAAACCTGTCTGATGTGTTCTCCTATTATTCATCATTCCTGTGATCCTGCCTTGACCCTATTCACTTAAAAGTATCCTCAACCCTCTTTATTTGTTACCCCATATTATTACGTCGTCACCGTTAATCATCTGTGATCTTGACCTGTAGACAGCTTGACCTATGCTATAACCCTTTCTGTATATGTGATCAGTATTTCCGAAATTTCACATGAACTGTGATCAAGATTTGACTGCAAAATTCCAAAATAATTGGGCGCCGAGTGATAAGCAGACATATGTAAAAACTATATTGTTGTAGAAATCTCAGCAAAATTGAAGTAAGTAATTGCGAAGTTTCGTTCGGCAAACTGGTCCAAACTTCTTAAAGGAAATTAATCAAAGCTATTTTGGACCAGTTTGCCGAAAGACACGTTGGAATTACTTATTTCAACTCCGCTGAGATTCTACAAATATAATTTTTACACATGTCCGAAATTTGTTGCGCTAAAACATTCATAACACACACGTTTCAGATACATGACGAGTTCTTATTGTTTTGTCGAAGTCTCTCGAAAATATATAGACTGAATTCATTGACGCAGAGGATATATTCACCCCCCACCCACCGCCGCCAACCATCTTCCTTCAACTACGATGTTTGTGGAAACCTCCGACGAGACACTGCAGCCCTTGCGTAAGTTGTTGTGTAACACAATACGTTTACTCGAACGGAAGAGGTACAGTAAACAAGTGATCAGATTATGGAACTTTTAGATGATCGAAAGATGACACAAAGTTTTTTTATCAAAATGTCCGTGATGTACATCACAATTTCCACAGATGCTAGTGATGATAACGACACAAGTAACACTCAAAAGCAAACATACACGATTGTAGAGAGTATGCCAGCTGTGCGATGAAATTTGTGGAAAAGGAAGTGTTCTAAGGTAGAGAAGGTAATTTACACCAGTCATTCGACTGCTAAGGAAGTAGAGAGTCTCACATTCGTTGAGAAGAGCAAGAAACCCACCACAACCACCCCCACGTGAAGTATCACGATGGATGCCACGTCCACGGCAGTATATACAGGCCACAATCTGACAATTTACACAAAAAGAAAGAAAGTAGGATTAACTAAATAATTTCACAGACTGAATTTTTGAGCTGAACAACCGCAGTAAAAGCATATATGGAGTGAATGCCTTGAAACCAGGTCTCCAACAAAATATTTATCATCAGTAATCTGATCATACCCCAGGAGCAGTTTACCAGAGCGATAAGTGATGAACAAGGTAGTTATCAAGCAACTTAGCCCCGAGTTCCTATTGTAATGAAGACGTAGGCGATTGATCCGATAAATACTATGTATGTCCTTCAACTTTAAATCCAAAACACCAGTATTCCTTGAACGAAATTATATTGTTTGGCAATTAAAGTGAAGAAAACTACAAAGTCTACAAACAAATGTTAGGTACAAATGAAGTTATAAAGTACTTTTATTCGTTTTTGTTCCCGTCTTCATTCAACTTGCAAGCGATCGAACCATTCGCGCCTTTGAATTGCCCACCAATGGCTGCCAGTTCCAATAAACAAACGTTCAATGTTCACGTCCATTGACAGTAGTTAACAATGTTACTTCGATAGAAATCTATGCATCTCAACTAATTGCACATGGAAAATGTTGGAAGACGAGTTAACAACAATTTCAAAGCGTCCAACATCCATCATGAGTTGATCTAAGAATGTCACTAATCAACTAGCTTATGTATTCAAAACTTAAGAGTCAAAGTGCCCAGTGACCGAACATGAAAGGCAATACTGCAAAGTATATATTCCTGGCTGACTGCAGTGTCAATTTCTAATGAAGAGTGTCACCTTGCATTCGACAATCACTGCAGTATCTATCACCAAGTGTTGATTGCTTTATTTTCCTATATCAAGCTTGACTGCAGACTGGCATCAGTTAGAAAATCATTGCGAAACCAGCTAGGAGTACTGAAGAGATGCTTACTCTTAGTTTGGGACTCATCATCAGGATGCAGCCACACTGTGGGGTTCGAACCCCGGACCTTCCGGTCACAAGATATGTCCTTAGACCATTCATTCATACACTGGGACCCAATCAAATGGCTGATGAATTTCAACGGCTTTACTGATTCGTGATTTTACCGTGACTACTAACTATTTGGCCTCAATCCCGACTCTTTAGAATTTATTTTGTATACATGTCGTTTTCATATGTTTAGCAGCTACAGCTACTTTTCAAGAGTTCGTTTGCAAGGATTTGAAGTAAGATTACGACCTGACCGAGATCAGTCAGGTAACAAATGAAAGAAACAGAGGGGGAGAACTGGACCTCGTCGAGGATCATATCAATAACCTTTCAGGTTATAAGACGACGAACTATCAGATCTTATCTCAGTGGCTAAATGGCCAACGAATCTCCCACATAACCTACAAACTCTGATTCCGACCGCCGATTAGGGACACGGATCCTCATATTGCCGAAGAGTTGAAAACTGATAGGAACATAACAAACACTCCGGTAACTCTTGGTGTATTTTTTTTCAATGCTTCAAGCTATCTGATGACAGTTCCAGTCAGTCAATCAATCACACTGGGGTGGTGTAGTTGTGCGCCACTAGCCTTCTCAAACTGAAACACAGCTTGGATGCATTCAATATGTATTTAACACAAGCAATAATTCACAACAAATGCCTATATTTCAACTGAATAACTTTATCAGCTAACAGACATTAGAAAATATTACACCTAATTTCTATCTCAATCAATAAAATAAAAACAATAGAAAAATAATAATAATAACAATAGTATTACTAAAGTATAAAAAAAACAAATCTGAGGGCGCTGAAAACAAAAACAGGAAGACGCCAATGAAAGACTGAAGGAAAAAAATATATAAAAAACAGCACAATTCACAAAGTGAAAGGGCAGTGCACACACACACACACATTCACAATCACGTTTGGAGCAGTTACTTATCACTAAAGAAATGCCGACAATTTTTAAACAATTTATGTGTTGTCACCAAGTCGAATGCGGATTTATATTTGAATTTCCGCGTGCTCAACTCTAAGTCTTTCAGGTGTTTACAACAAATGGTATGACGACGTTTGATGCAGGCGGATGCAGGAGATGATGAGGCTAGTTCGGGCAAATCACAGCATAGTTTTGTTGTTAGGTAGTGAAACCACATTACATTGGTTTTCGGTGAAAACTTCTTCCAATTATTTCTAGGGGGGAGGAGGAGAAGAAAGGAAATAACAAAATCATAATAAGCGGGAGAAAAATATAAATATTAATAATAATAGTAATAATGCGTTAAAACAAACGAATAGAATAATCAAGTTAATTATTAATCAATAAACAACCTAGCACGTTTGTCACACAAATACGACTATTTATTTTGACACCCCATAACTAATCTGTTATTCTACGTTAAAAAATGTATCTGCCGCATAACTGGCCTTATTGTAGCGACAACAAATATTATATTTTATAATTGTAAGAACCTGAAGAGAAATTATTGAAAAGAATATTCTTCGTTCAGATTGACTTTTAATTCATAATATGGGAATTTTCCACACTATCAAACAGCAACAAGACTGAAGGAAGTTTTCCGCATACATTTTTTAGCAGGATACTGAACATTGTCAGCAGCATGCATCCACACTGTGTGTGGGGTTCGAACCCCAGAGATTTCGGTCACAAAACATGCTCTTAGACCATTCATTCAGACATTGGGGCCCAATTCAATGACTCATGAATTTCAACAGCTTTACTGATTCGTGAATTTAGCGCGACTACTAACTATTTGTCGTCAATCCCGACACTTTAAAATTTATTTTGTATATATGCCCTTAGCGGCTACAGTTAACTAGCATTCAAGAGTTCGTTCTCAAGGATCTGGTCACGAACTGACTGAGATCAGTTAGAAAAAAAAATGAAAGAAAGACGGGGAGAACTGGACCTCATCGAGGTGCATATCAATAACCTTTACGACTATATTTTTTAACATGATACTGAACATTGCCAGTTACGGTGTTTACTTATGCAAAAGGTTAAATGTGACAATAAAATAGCTAGAAACAGGAGTGACTACATCTTCGCTCGTTTGTGATCGAGTACATCAGCAGTGTACTCGATATGACTCAGCTCAAGGAACTGAATCAGTTGGAACCACATGAATTCTCGCTGGTTGGCTGGCTGACTAGCTAGCTAACAAACACTACTTTGGTTGGTATGACTGGTATACAACTACTTATGAGTAGTATACAGTTCAATAAAGACATGTTTGCTGTCTTGATTACAACTTATGATATCAAGCAAATCATTTAGTGTGTTTGAGTGTGAACTGAATAATTAGTTGGTTTCCAAAGGGAAGCTAACTGTTGTGAAAAATTCACCTCTTTAACTGAGTACAATTGCAATGCATCAGCGAGCCTGCGAATTGTTAATTCGATTCACGAGTGTGATGATTGGACAGCTCAAGGTAACAGTAATTTAAGAAAGCCAATCAAAAAACAAAACAAAAAAACCAAACATGTGTGAAATGATATTTTGAATGGTGAATAGTGGGAAAGGGGATCAGAGTTGCAAAGATAACAAAGTCTGAATACATTTCAACACACCACTGTGAACACAACTTTTGCGATATGTTATCAAAAGTTTTCAAGCCGTGACCAGTAGGGTATAGTAGGTCGAAGGTGAGGACAGTTACTTATCGAAGAAGACATTGCGAATTGGCCGCATTACGTCATGAATTGGCAGAAGTTGGAATTCACGAGCTGGCCATTAGGTCGGCTCCCAGTGACTTAGATGTCTATGAGCTAGCTCGCCTTGTAACCAGAAAGTCCTGGGTTTGAACCCTGGTGTTGGATGCGCACTGCCGAAGAATCCCATCCCGTATTCCACTGCTGGTTTTCCAGTGGTTCTCTAACTGATATCAGCTCATGATGAAATCCTCTAACCAATTAAACAAAAATCCCTACAAACCAATACTCGATAATAAAGAGTAACTTTGATGTCAGATGGTTATTGGCAATCGGCAAGTAGCCCTGTCTAGACACCTAGGTTTCTTGCTTGTTGGCACTCAACAGACAGCAAGCTGTATCTGAAAACTTGAAGGGAGTCATACTCGTTTTGCGATTTTAGGTCGCATCACCTATTAATTTTGTCAGAGGTGTTCCTAATGAGCTATCCGGGCTCGCGATTGACCACCTCATGAAGGACTATAATGCACACTGTGATTGGGTTATTCAATACTAATTCGATCAGTCAGGTTTGCAATGTGGCCACGATGGTAGGTGGCTTACGACTGCAAAATACAGTATGAATTGTTTTAATCAGATGGTAGGAGGCGATCGGCAAGGAACCTAGGATTTGGTTTCGTGCTTGTTGGCGCTCGTCAGCAAGACGTATATTTAGTTTTGAAGGAGCTCCTATCCTCTTTGAGACTCGAACCCAGAGAGACGTTACAACAGAGCTATAGGGGTTTGTGATTAACTTTCTTTAAGACTGTAGTGAATACTTTGACTGGACAATTGGTAAAGACTGGAATCCGGAAACCCGCTGATTAGAACTTCTCCAAGATTATTTTTAATTCACCTAACACTGCTCATCGAGGAAAGCAGATGAAATATTAGTCTGCATCGATCAACATGGTTAGGACATGCGTTACACAGGCCAAAAAATCATCTTTCTCGTCGACCAACGTTAGCTGACATAGGATAGAATCAGAGAAGAGTTAGCTGTGGTCAAATCGAAACTTGGCATCGATGCATGAAGTCTATGATTGCTGATTTGAGCCACGTAGGTATGTTTAGACTACCTACCTCGTTGGTGTCCCCTAGACGTTATTTCAGAATTCAGTGTCACTTGCACCAAATTACAAGTAATCCATCTGACTAACTGAGACACATGAAACATAAACGGAGGATTAGAGCTGAGAAAACTGCTTGCGAATGGCCACACAACCTGGCATAGACTGTTGTAGGGTGGCTAGCGACATAAAATTTTCAGGGCTAACCACCAACCTGCTTTCCCAGAATGAGCGCCAATACAATTGGATAGCTCGTTGGTCATCTAAAAGAAATACCTTACTGCTTCTAAAACGCCTAGTATTTACCGTCACACCTTTAACATAATGTTGCGTGACTCACATATCACTCAACCTCTACAACACTCTGAAACCCACAAGACGGCTGTTTCATCACTAGTTTGAGAATCTTCGTCAGTACGCATCCAGACTGCGACCTTCAAACCTAGGAAGGATCTACTGGTTACAAGGTGAGTTCGTAGACCATTCAACCACTGGGACCTACCCAATCCAATCGCCCAAGAATTCCAACACGCCTGGCAATTCGCGATATATATGATATCTTATCTGACTTGATGGACCCCATCGGTTACGACTTCTCACTAAAACTCTAGGTAACTTTTTCCTGTATACAGACAGTTGCTATCCGATTAATAAATCAAGTGTTAGTGTATGCAGGAGGATTTGACTGGTTACAAGTATAATCACAGGCTAGCTGACATCATCAGTTAAAGAACCTTTTCAGGCAAAGGTCAGCAATCATGGGTCATTGCATCGAGTCCCAGTGGCTGAATGGTTTGACTGAAAGGTCCTTTAGTCAGACCGCAGTGTTAACGCATTGCTGAATTGTCTAAAAATAGGATGAAACAGCTGGCTCGTGATCATATCTGAAATCTGCATAAGAATCAAATTACATTCGGTTGGTATGTGTGGGTGTATATTGTAAAAATTGATTAATAAAGTACAACAACTTTGGTCTATACATGAACACAAAAAAGTATATCATTCTATGTATACTCACCGAGTGTGCGATTTCATGTGACGATATATGTCAAATTGATAATCTCCTTGCGACTGAAACAAAGTAGGGTCACTACTTAAGTCAACATAGACTAAATCACCATCTACAATTAAAGAAGAGGGAACATATCATACAACAAAAGTGACTGAAGACTGTGTATAACACATTCGTTAAATTCCGATAAATAAAGCTTGAAATGAACAGTTCCCTACAAAAAATGAATGTAGGAGCGTCTGATTGACACGGTTTCAACATAGTACTTTGCATAGAAGTATGGCAGTTCAGTCTGCCACAGTACTCCATGTAGTACACAAAAGAAGACAAAATGGACAAAAATTGATATTCATAAAAACCATAATAAGCAGAAATGCAAGTGGGAGAAAGAATAGTGACACGGAAGAATATGATGGTTTAAAAGGATATGACAAATCACAAGGAGTGGTGAATGCGTCCATGTCAATATCGAGGCATCTCACCACCAATTGTCTCCAGCTTTGATTGGTATTCTTAGAATCTTGAGGACTCTCAACCAGCAAGGGAAGAAAGTAAAAAAGAAAGGCAAAATAGTGACAATAAACAGAGATATAAGGCACAAAGAATAGTAATATCGAAGAACAATATAGCTTTATTGGGCATTGTAAGTCATAAAGAGTGGATGCATCCGCCCCATTGAGAACGATTTAGAGCCATATCACCAATTGTCTCCAGCCTTCATTGATTTTTACCGTCCCGAGAGCCCAACCAGGAAGTCCACACCTTCCTACATGTTGTTGATTTTATTGACTGATGAAGCCAAGTTTTGGTTCGACCAGCGCTGCCTTACTTCTTTTCCAACCTGTTCCATCTTATGTGAGTCAGCTAACATCGCCGAACCAGGAAGTCTACACACACACCTCCCTACTTGGCTGGCTTCAACTCTCAAGGTTCTCATAGACTGATTTGAAGTTTTGGTCCGACCTCCACTAACTCTTTTTCAACAATGATTTTATGTTAACCAACACTTTCCATCGGGGAAGGTGATAGCTAGGCCGGCATGCGTAACACATGTCCTAACCATCTCTCAGCCAATGTAACTTCACACACTCAGAGAGCGATACAAAAATAGGTGGAAACATCTTGTAGTCTTGAGAGTCATCGTCGTTCAGTCATGAAAAACAAAATAAACCAAACTAATATGAACTCTGATCAAGATTTAAATGAAGAGTTACACAAACATTTTGAAAATATTAGATCCATTTGGTGATACACTGTTTACAACAGTGTGGATACTTTTTATCAGTCTTTAACGAAAATGTTTAAGAAATTATATCGGCCTTGATCACGTAACATGTAGTAGCAGTAAGAGGATTTATACTTTGGGAAATGCTTATGTGATATACAAATATTGCCCAAGCTAAAATGGAAGTGAGTTGAACACACACACGCTGAAGTGACTGTTGAGTAACATCACGCGGTATACAAGCCCTTGAGTAAAGCCCGAATAGGAGACAATGAATTCGGTGTCTGCCGGTGGACTGAGGAGTTAATTGTGGAACCAGTTAGAAAGAACTGCAGAGAATATAGACGGATACAGAGATATGCTGCTGAAGCTCTACGCTCCATTTGATGAAACACAAGGAAGACATAATAATAACTTGAATTTATCTTATACATACGTGACATGTATTTGTACAATACATTTCGAAAATTCCAACCACACATAGACGCACATATTTGTCATACATACTCATATAAAGAGTAACGAAGCATAAATAGTTTGCGATAAATGAAGGTGGGTCACATATAATCGATTTCAATAGCACCCTTAAAATAATATATAAAACACTGTTGCGTTATATACATTTATGTTCGTTAGAGCTCTCCCCACCCACTCCACGCCGATCAACAGCTGCTACTTCGACCCAACGAGTTACACAAGATGGAACTAATATTGCTGAAAGTTCTTCCATGCCACTAAGGTTGGTTGGATAGCAGACTCTCTTTATTACTAGAAAAGAGGATGGTACAATAGAAAGAAATGTATATAGAAAACCTACATCAACTGACTGTCAGTATACTCATTTTTTCAGCATCGTGCCTTTGAAATACAAACGCAATCTGATAAAGTGTTTGATCCACAGAACAAGAACAATCTGCTCGGATGAATGTTTTAATGAAGAACTTACTATTAATAAAAAGGTGCTGAGTGAGAGCGGTTATCCAGAATAGTTTATTGATAAGAATATGAATCAACCATCAATGCAGCCCTAGGTACCAATAATTACTTAAAAGGCCTTATTCTTACAAATTCAGTCCCTCGAAGATATGCGGCTAAATTGACCGCATAAAGCGCGCACACATTCCAAAAACATCTCAGAACATTATCCGGCATGGTTAGCAAAAAGACAATGCAAGACAGCTACCAGCTCAATTCTCGAGCATTTGGTGAACTCTAGCCACGTAACTACTCCACCAGAGTAGTCTTCAAGATCAACTACAAGGTGAGGAGGCCAAATGGTACAAAGGGTTTCAGGTTCCGGCTTTTTTTGTATAGCGGAGGCGTTGGCAATTCGTCAATACAACCCGGAACTCTGTAAACAGAAAAGGTTTGTCCAGTCACTTATTCTATCATGATCTTAACCTCCTCCTTTTGTTTCTCTGTAAAAGAAATTTATTTTTTTCTCTTTTCTCTTTTACTTTTAATTTAACAATTAATTCACTATTATCACTTTCATATGTTCCTTTTGTACATTTTCACACCCTCTTCACACTTGTTGAATTGACACTCAACTATCACCTTTATTCTCACTCAATAACAACTTTAACCTTATCGAATTTCTATCTTTGTTCCGTTGAGTACCACGTAATTTACAACTTTTATTTTTTACTTCTAAAGCCACTTCTGAGTAATTATATCAATTATGTCACCCCCTAGTACTCAATAATAGACAGTTTTGGCAAATATAAATACGACTGTACAACCTCTGAAGATGATCTTGTCGATAAAGAAGCATTTTCTTCGCTGAATTCATCTTTCATTTTTTCTTCATAACTCTCAATGGGTAGTATTTTCGGTGATTTGAAACCCCAGTAGTATATATAAGCATCATTCAGTATGTAGTAGCAGTTATAGTCTATGAGAATAAAACAAGAAACTTTGAAAACAAAAACAATAAACAGTGTGCAAAATATAATTAATTCCACTCCACTCGACTGACTGACTGCTTACCTTGTTCTAAACGAGACATGGTAAAGTCTATGAGGTATACTGTGCAACCGCATTTCGGAACACTGATCGCCTGATCATTCAGACGAAATTGTACGTATTTATTATTATTATTAATGTGCAATTCTTTGTCATCAGCGTCTTCTTCTTCATTAATGACATGTCTCTTATTTTCCTTATCAGATCCTTCTTCTTGTTCCACTCCATCCATATTGTCCAGATAAGAACAATATTTGCAAGAATTTCTTGAGGATGTACACAAGGAGATGGAGCGGGAGGAGGAGGAGGAGGCGGAAGAAGAAGAGGATAACAACGTCGACGACATTGTCGACTTATTTGCAAGAGGGAATATATAATTTTCATTGAGCAAAACATTCCCCCAATGTAGGTCTCTGTGCTCGAACTTTAATTCTCGTTCTGCTACTGCTAGAGAAAATCCCACTTGCAGCAGAAGGGAGACTCTGGCACAGGGACAGGGGGGCTATTATAGAAAAGAAAGAACAGAAATAAAAAGTATACAAACGGAATTAGGTATATATATATATATATATATATATATATATATATATAGTGCTTCAGTGGCACAGCGGTTAGGACGTTAGCCGATCATGCACATGGTCCGGAGTTCGATCCCTGGCCACTGACGCATTCCTTTACCTCGCTAAGCCAGTAGTAAGACTGTCTGTCTGTCTGTTTTCGAAATAGAACATTGCACAGTAGTAAGACTGGTAAAGAGGGAAGGTTGAGCATGAGGTCAGAGCAACCCCATCTCGTAAAAACAAACACCACTGCTACCGAAACTTCAAGCCTCTAACTTGAAGCCCTATGTTCCACTGGGAACGTAAAGGAATAAAAAATACGTATATGTATAATAATTTCTCCAAAACTAAGCCTGACTGATGACTCCGTGTGAACGGCCAGTAACGGCATTAGGTGCATTGGGTAGACTCCGGTCTTACTTTCGAAATACTCTCATCATATGGCGACAACCGTTCACAGCCTTTTTATTTATTACTACGCCTTCACGACGCAGGGGGGTTCTTCACAAAACTGAAAGGCTTAATTCGAAAGCATTGGCGCTTAGAACCGAACTGGTGGACATCCAGGTCTACCTAGGGAAGCTGGAACATTCTCGTTTGAAACCTATGACGTATGTGGGCTCCAGAATCCGATTGGATTTTGGGTGATGTGTGAACCTGTTATCGTCACGAGAAAGCACGGGAATGTATCTCCTGACATTTCTCGCCTAACTTGTGGATCAGAATTCTCACGTCAAAGGCCGGTGGAAAGGGTAGC